CCTCCATAGTGCAAGCCTCCTCCTGACCACTTAACCCTCACCCCGCCCAAACAAACCACACCCAGACCTGGTGCCGCGCGAGGTGGGTGAGAAGTGGCTCAAGTACTACCGCCAGGAGCTGCCCGCAGTGGCCTTCAAGGCCAGCACGCAGCAGCAGGCCGGCGGCCCGGGCGCGGGCGCGCGCGGCGGCAAGGGCGCCAAGGCGTCCTCTGCGGCGGGTGCGCTTCCATGCACGAGCGCACATGATCAGGAGCTTGGCAGGTCTTGTTCTGGTCAGCCAACCGGTGTTCCCTGAGGGGGCTGGCGTCGCGGCCGTTGGGTCGTGTTTTTGCGCCTGAGGCGGCGCGCGCAGCATGCCATAGAAAGAGTTGATTGAAACCTCTTGATACCCTGGTGTGGAAAGGCGGGGCTGACCGTGCTCGCGTGCTGCTTGCCGCCTTGCCGCCCGCCGCAGACGTGGGCAGCGGCTGCCTGGGGGCGGACACGCTGCTGCAGCTGCTTAAGAATTACGCGCGCAGCAGGTGCGGCTCAAAAAGGGCCCGCGGCGGTTGGGGCGGGGGGTTGCAAACCAGGGGTGGCGGACGGCAGAGGGTCTCCGCAGGCGCGGCCCCGCTACCTGTCTTGGTCCTCCTCAGCGCCCCACTCCACCTGCTGACTTAGGTGTGTCTGCATGTCTTTATGTTGAACTGCCGCAACAACCACGCCCTGGTCGTCGCTCTGACTGCCCTAAACACGCCACAATTTCCGCAGATCCACTCGCATAGCCACACCCAAGTCAACCGTCCTGCCCCCCCCCATACACACCCCATCCAAGCCCCTTCCATGCACCCCCACCCATATCCCACCCCCAGTGCCCACATCAACACCAGCACACACCCCACCCAAACCCCATCAATGCACCCAACCACCCCAAACCAACGCCCCAACCCCCAGGGGCATCAAGACGAGCATCACAGTGGGCGTGGTGGGCCTGCCCAACGTCGGCAAGTCCTCGCTCATCAACAGCCTCAAGCGCTCGCGCGTCGCGCAGGTAGGTTGGTTAACTTTTTTTGTCAACCACTTTTAAACCCCAAATGATTTGAGATAAACCAGTATGTAAAGTCCAGTGGATCTTCTTTCCCAGCGTAAAAACTATGTTATCCCCTGGGATCGAACCTGCGCCTCTTGTGTTGCAAATTGTCACCCCCAGGTCGGCAACACGCCAGGCGTCACCAGGGGCGTGCAGGAGGTGGTGCTCGACAAGACCATCCGCCTGCTCGACTCCCCGGGCGTCATCTTCAGTGCTGATGACGACGCCGCGGCCGCGCTGCGCAACTCGGTCAAGGTGAGGGGGTGTGAAGGGGGTGTCGGGTGGGGGATGGGGGCATGTTTGTGGGGGGCGTGCGCCAGCAGCGGCCGCCGCATGTGGCCTGTCAGGGTGCGGGCACGTGTTTGGTGGCCGCCTGCTGCCTGGTTCCGCGCCGTGTCGTCGCGGTCGGCAGGGCTCCGGCTGCACAGCCCGCGCCGCATGTCCGGGCGTGCCCGGGGCGCTTGTGTCGGCCGGGGCGCGTTCCCATCATCACCCATCGCCGTGCCGCCCCCTGCTGACCCTCAAGCCACGGCCCCCGTCGGCCGCCGCCCCCACCTCCCAACACCCCGCCGACGCCCCGGCCCCTTGCCCTCTGGCCAGGTGGAGCGGCTGGCGGACCCCCTGGCCCCCGTGGCTGTCATTCTGCAGCGCGTCCCCAAGAAGCAGCTCATGGCGGTCTACAAGGTGCGGCCGCGGACATGACCTCATCCGGCGCGATCGGATCTGATCTGATCTGATCTGACTTGCTCTGAGGCCGCATTGGATGCGGCGGCCGAGCCCGGGGAGTCGGGGGCCGAGCGGGGCAGCTGCCTGGAAGCTGCGGCGGCTGGATGGGAAGAAGACGGACGGCGGCGGGTTTCTGCTGCCGCGACGCGCCACGGTCCGCCCTGCCCTTTCGGCCTCAAATCGGGCCCTGATCTGGCCCCTAAGCCGACCGCCGCGGCCGGCCCCCCCTCTTCCCCCAGATCGCGTCTTTTGCTGACGTGGACGAGTTCCTGCGGCTCATCGCGGCGGCGCGCGGCAAGCTCAAGCGCGGGGGCATCCCTGACATGACGGTGCGGCGCGCCTCCTCAATATGCGCGCGGACGCGCGCGCACACACGCAAACACACGCGCACACACGTACCCACACGCACATATACACACATACACACACACACAAACACACACATGCACGCACACACGCACACGCGCACACACACACACCCACGCACACACATACACGCACTCCCACCCCCTCGCGCGCAGGCCGCGGCGCGCATCGTGCTGCAGGACTGGAACGGCGGCGTCATCCCCTTCTACACGCTGCCCCCCAGCCGCGGCAACGAGGAGCACGAGAGTGCGGCCGTGGTCGCGGGCTGGGCGGCAGAGTTTGACGCCGAGAAGGTGAGCGGGCGCCCGCCTTCCCTCCCAATAGCATGACGCGGCGCGGGCATGACGGGGGGTGCGGGCGGGAGTGGCGGGGGCGTCCTCGAAGGGCGCGGGGCAGGTGGTGGGGGGCGGCTCGGCGCCGCCGTCCTGAGGGCGCGGTTCGTTTGACGTTGGCGGCACCGGTTGGAAGCGACCGCCAGCCGTGCAGCTCACGCGATACATCAGCTGTCCGCTTGCCCAGACCCTTCGCCCAAACCACTGACGATCCGGCCACGATTGTCAAACCTTGCTGTCCGCCCATGCAACCGCCGACCAACCGCCGACAACTGAAACCGCCTGGCCCACCCCCCAGGTGTTCGCGGCCGAGGCGACCGCTGTGATCTCGCAGCTGCCCTCGATGGAGGGCGCCGGCGCCGCCTTCTTCGAGGCGGCCAGCGCCGGCCGCGCGCGCGTCGAGCTGCCCTCCGCGGCGAGCGGCGGCCGCGGCACCTTCGGCGGCGGCGGCGGCGGCGGCGGGGACAGCATGGAGGGCAGCAGCAGCGACGAGGAGGAGGAGGGCGAGGAGGAGGAGGGGGATGGGATGGACGTGGGGGACGGCGGCGGCGGCGCCGCGGCAAGGCGCGGCAAGGCGCCGGCGCCTGCGGCGGCGGCGGCGGCGAAGGCCGCGCTGTATGGGGAAGAGGGCCAGTTTGACCCCCGCAAGGTGCGCGCCGAGAAGAAGGCCCGGAAGAAGTCCAAGGTTGCGGCCGCGGCACCCGAGGTTCCGGCGGAGGGCGGCGACGGCAGCGATTTCGATTTTGACGAAGCAAACGAGGCCGACGGCGGCAGCGGCGGCGGCAGCGCCAGCGGCAGCGGCAGCGACGAGGAGTATGGGGCGGGCGGCGGCGGAGAGGATGCTGACAGGGCGTATGCCGATGCAATGGAGGGGTCTGATCTGGAGGAGGAGGGCGGCGGCGGCGACGACTGAGTAGAGGGATCGCGGTCGGGGTCGCGACCCCGGGTGGCGGCAGCCGGGCCGCTTTTCTTTTTTCGGGTCCTGTCAGCTTGAGGCCGCCAACCCGTCGCCTGTGGTCGCGCTTCAGGCGGGCTTGAGGCAAAATGTCTTTCTCTGTTTTTCTGCGTCTCTCGCGCACTTTGGGGCTGCGCATGCAGTTCGTTTGGTCTCTGCACTGCAAGCGTTCGAAGCCCGGCGATCGACGGGCTCCCGCGCGCGCGCGGCCGCACCTGTGCAAACGCTGCACCGCGCAGCACACGCCGCTGTTACAGAAACTCCCAACTCAGCAGGCAAGCGCCGACGCCCGGCGCCGGGAACCAGCAGGCACAAGGCATGAGCCAGCGGGGCCAGGAGCCGCAAAGGAGTCACAACGCCATGCGGGTGGCGCGGCCCGCCCTGCCTG